CTATTGACTCCGCCCAAAGGAAGGTAGTACCTTAACTAATAATAATTTCATGTTAGCAAAATAACCAAAGATAATACCTGTACCTACATACTCAAGTCCATGTGCTGTAACGGTCGTCATTACGAATTGGTTGACAGATACGATGTGTCTGTGTCTCAATTCACTATCGACAGTCATCTGATCGGTAACTTTATTGCTTGTGTCATACTCCTTGATTTGGCTATTTTACTGGCTGGCCAAATGTGAATTGGTAGAATTGGGGTACTTCAACCTTTGGATGAGATATAGAAAAAAAAAAGGGAGATGAACTAGAGGCTTTAAAGAGCCTACATCGTTCAACTGAAATTTTTGCATACATTTAACAATGCAAAAGACATATTTGTTTTGAATGAAAACTGTGTGGAACAAAATCTTGTCTTGCTAGTCATTTTTGCTAGATCAGTGTTCTGTGTATTCATTATAGATGTTAAGATTATAACCAAAACGAAAACCTAGATTCCAAGGAGCCTGTATTGCTTTTTTTAGCATAATATTGATACTATACAATAATAAATTTTATGAAAAAGCAAAACAAAAGGTAAAAATTGTCAATTAAGGACAAAAACCCCTAAGAGTCGATTGGCCACTCTGGTCATGTTATTTGTAGATCTTGTCTTGCTGAGATGTTTCTCAAGTTTTATAAAAAATAATAAATCGTCATTAAAGGGCAATATAGTATTTATTTGTAGATATTGTCTTACGATGAAAGAGATGATTTTTCATTTCCTATTGTTAATTATCCATTTTTAGATTGTGACGTTCCCTTGGCACCATCTTATATTGTTTATATATCTCAACTTGTTCGATTCGCTCGTGTATGTAACAACGTATTTGATTTTAACGAAAGAAATCTCTGTATAACTGAAAAATTATTACACCAGGGTTTTCATTATCACAAACTAGTCAAAACATTTACTTAATTTTATCATCGGTAAAAGGACATCATTCGTAAATATAAATCAACATGCAGACATCTTATACGTTCAGGTATTTCACATCCAATCTTTTATGGTAATATTCTATACAAAGTACAAAAATGTCGTCATTCACCTCAGAAGCTAACCAAACCTTTAAACAGACTTATTCAGAAGTGATATAGTTACGTCATTAAAGATGGCATATTTTGGAATTAATATTGATTCACTCATAGGGTCTATGCATCGGAAATAAACACATTTATTCTAAAACCAGTTGTTGGCATGATACGGGTTATGTTCATGTCATATATTTTATGATGGTATGATACCAAACCTCTAACGGCAGGGATTGTGCTTTATTTTCATATGATGAAGACATAATCTTTCAATCAGTTTAATCAAGGTATGGAGCTGGCATGTCAGTAACTGCTAGTATTCCTTTGTTAATTTATGTATCATTGTCGTTTTGCTTAGTTTCTTCTGTTACTTATTCTGACATCGGTCTCGGACTTCTTTTAAACTGAGTTTTACTGTGCGTATTGCTATTATTTATTCTACATTGGCTAGACATATACTGGGTAGGTTGAGATCTCGCAAAACATGTTTAACCCCGCCGCATTTTTGCGCCTGTCCCAAGTCAGGAGCCTCTGGCCTTTGTTAGCCTTGTATGTTTTTTTTTTTTAATTTTAGTTAATTTATATATTTCGGAATTTAGTGTGACGTCCATTTTCATTGAACTAGTACACATTTTTGTTTAGGGGCCAGCTGAAGCCCGCCTCCGGGTGCGGAATTTTCTCGCTGTGTTGAAGACCCAATGGTGGCCTTGGGCTGTTTTCTGCTCTTTGGTCGGGTTGTTGTCTCTTTGACACATTCTCCATTTCCATTCTCAATATTATTGTTAATCATTTTTGGTTTATAAAGTTTCTATCTATTACAGTTTTTCAGATATTAGGCAAAAATGAAAAAAATCGGTAAAATTCATCATTTAAGGGCAATAACTCCTATAAGAAGTCATCTGACTGTTTTGAAATAAATAGACAATAGGTAGATCTCATCATTTTAAACATTTCTGCCTGTTAATTTATTGCAGTTTTATAGATAAAAGATCAAACTTGCATTTAAACCCATGTTCTATTTTAGCCATGTCGGCCAAGTTGGTTGGCAGGCTGGGTCAGTGGACACATTTTTAAACTAGATACCATAATGATGATTGTGGCCAAGTTTCATTTAATTTGGCCGAGTAGTTTCAGAGAGGATTTTTGTAAAAGTTAACGACGACGGACGACGGATAACGGACGTCAAGTGATGAGAAAAGCTCACTTTGCCTTTTAGGCCAGGTGAGCTAAAAAAAATTGTTAAAATCTTCATTCAAGAGCAATATCTCATTTAAGGGGTCAACTAGCTGTTACTAAGGATTGTCCAATTGATTTAGTCTCATCAAAAAAAAGAACGTGTCAAATTAGTCATGCAAGGACAGTAACCCTTATAAGGAGTCGATTAACTATTTTGGACATTTGATTTAATTGTTTATCTTAGTTTACTGATAATTTTTGCTACAGTTTCTCTATCTAGTAATATTTTCTGCAACAACAAAACACCTAGGTAAAAATCGTCATTGAAGGGCAATTACTCCTATAAGGAGTGAACTAATGAATTCGTTCTTTGGCTTATTTGATCTTTTTTTGATGGTCCTTGAAATTATTCAAAATGTCAGTCTATCTATAATAGTTTTAGACATATTAACCGAAAACTGTCTAATTTGCTCAAAATTGACATTTTAGAGGCGATAACTCAAATATGGCTTCTCCAATTTTTCTGAATATTTCAAGATAGATCACTCTCACTAAAAACACAAAGTTTGGTGTCATGTTGAACGTATCTATCCCATCGAACTTGAAATTAAGGATACAACAGGTACAGTTATGTCTGCCTCATATCTAAACTTACGTTTAGAAATTGACAATGAGGGTCGGTTGAGAACAAAACTTTACGACTAAAGAGATGATTTCAGCTTCCCAATTGTGAACTTTCCATTTCTATGTAGCAACATTCTACGTAGCAGCGGCTACATATGGATTATATATCTCCTAGTTGATGGGTTGCTGCTCACAAGAAAGCTAATAAATAAAGAGTTCCAAGTGGTGAAGTTGAAATCATCCCTTCGAAACATTAATGGACGCCATCACGAATTGGTTGACCGTTATGGAATATCTGTTTTTACAGATGATGTATATGTTCCAATTGTCGTAATTACAATACCGGCCTCTTTTTCCGAATGTGACCTACTGAATTAAGACTTAATACCGGATTTTTTCAAGACGGGTGCCACATGTGGAGCAGTATCTGCTTACCCTTCCTTAGCACCTGAAATCACCCATGGTTTTTGGTGGGGTTCGTGTTCCTCAGTCTTTAGTTTTCGATGTTGTTTTGTAAACTGTTGTTTTTCTTTTGATCCTTTTCTTTTTTTGCCACGGCGTTGTCAGTTAATTTTCGGCTGTTTGAATGTCCCTTTGGTATCTTTCGCATCTCTTTTTTTTACCCTGTGATTTTTCTTTCTAAGCTAATGATTTAAAATAAAATATATTTTTCATGTTAAAATAAATGGGGAATGTGTCCATGGGACACAGATGATGCCCCCGCTTGCATATTATATAAAGTTATAAAGGGACATAACTGAAAAACGGTAAAAATGACGCTACCCAAATTTGTATTTGATCTGAGTTTTGTAGTAATAGGTTTTGTGTATGAGTTTCATAACATTTGGTTGAGGCAAACTTAAGTAAGAGAATGGAAACGAAAAATTCAGCAATTTTTCCATTTGTAAAGGGGCATTACTCTAGAACAGTAAAAGTGACACCACAAAAATTTAAAATTGATCTGTATTTTGTGGTAATAAACATTGTGTATAAGTTTCATAACATTTGGTTGAGGCAAACTAAAGAAGAACAGAAACTAAAAATTCAGCAATTTTTCCATTTGTAAAGGAGCATAACTCTAGAACGGTTAAAGTGACACCACCAAAATTCAAACTTGATCTGTGTTTTGTGGTAATAAGCATTGTGTATAAGTTTCATAACATTTGGTTGAGGCAAACTAAAGTTAGAGAATGGAAACCAACTTTGGGACGTATGGACGGACGTACAGACGAACAAGGGTAAAACTTAATGCCCACTCCGCTACGGCGGGGGCATAATAAAAAAGGTAACAACGATTGACGAATATGGACGCCCAGTGATAGCAATAGCTCACATGACCCTTTGGACCAGCTGATCTTAAAAATAACTACATATAATTTCCTCGTTTTCACTATCCTTCTAATGGTGGCAATTTCCTTGGCTCCTTTCTGGGTGTACATTTCTCAGTTAGTTCCATATTCACAAGTTTGCAAAGACATCTCAGATTTCAATATGTTCAGGAATTCGAAAACCAAGAAGTAATATAAATATATCAAATAACATAATTCAAATTTTTACAAGTCATTTATCTGGCAGATATCAGAATGTATGATTTTGAATTTTGTCTTGCATATTTGAAGGTTTCAAATTGCTTGAGAATTTAGTGCAAAACTGCTGAAATAGTATCATTATGTTCATTTTATTAATGAGATTAACATTATTTTGAAAGTCTTGTATTATTTTACTATTTTTGCCATTTCAGTGGCAAAATAATTGCTCTTATCATACCTCCTTCAATGTAAAATAGATTTATTAAAAATCGAATTAATATTGAAATGTAGTACATAATCAACTTCTCTCTAATCTTTTTTACAAATATGAAAGTCTTTTAAGACAGGTTAACAATGTAAAACATCTTTGCTATCCTTACTGGCCATTCAATTTTTATTTCTCAACAAATATTATATAAATATTGCCAGAAAATAATGTTTGGTTATCATTTGTCTGCTTTAGCCTGATGTCTAGTTATATGAGAGAATTTATTAAAATATCAGTGTCACAATGTTATTCAACAAGTTATAGAAAGAGAGATAACAAAAAGACTATGAACATGGGTTTAATGGCAACATGTAAACAAATAAACAACACAATCAGTATTTTTATTTATTTTCTTGAAAAATTACAACAATGTGCAATTTTCTTTGAAAAAATATATCAATAAATAAATTCGAATTACTTGAGGAAAATCATTATCATTTCACACATAATGCCAACAATTTAAAACTTAGTCATTTTTAAGGAAATATTCAAAATAATTCCAGCTAATTATTCTAAATAGTAGCAAATGAGTCAATGTTAAAAAAGACAAAAATACCATTTACCTTTAAAATACTGAAGATAAAAATTTTAATATTTTTTTAATGTTTCTTTTTTATAAAAAATCTGAGAAAAGGCATGTTATCATGAATACGAGTTACCAAAACTATATATACATTTTTGTTTATCAAACAGTCACAATACTAAAAGCTACAGACTTATAATTTAATCAAATGTTTCATATAAAATTTGAAATTAGTGAAAGCAAATTTTCAACTATTTTGAAAAATTGGGAAAAGCCCTTTTAATGTTATCAACCTCTTTTTCAAAGCAGAAAGAATTTATGAGAATATTTAATATATATCATATTCATTTTATACATTTACATCTCAACCTCTCCACAGAAGAAATAAGAAAAGTGCAAATGAAAATGTTTGAAACAGTAAAATTTTGGCAGGCTGAGACAAGAAATTTTCATTTAGAACTGAAGAAGTGAACTCTCAACTTATAGATCTAACTTAAATTAGATCATTTTAATCACAGTTACATACGATATGGTGGGATATCATACACCATCCGAACAAAACATTTAGTGTAAAACTGACATTTTATTTTAGTAGGATTATTTATCATGACAAATGAAAAATCCTGCTGTGTTTCAATTCTTAATTGAAAAAACCTGCTGTGTCTCAATTCTTAATTATAATGGGTATCAACTCAAAATTTAACAATTAACTACATTCTTAGTAAATATTGTAAGACCTAAAGACATTAGGCATTCACTACAAAGTTCACTACACCATAGTAATCAATACCCTGATTTGGTATTACAGTACAAAATCAACATTAAAGAACCTTAGTGAGCGCGCTCACATACCCCACGTCCTCACATTGTCATTGGAGAAATAAAATATGTGTAAGAAAAAAAAATTGAATCATAATTTCCTGTCAATATGCACATCTACATAGTATGTCCTTATTATCTACAAAGTTTCATGAAATTATGTTGTGTGGTTTCAGAGGAGTTGCGATGAAAAACTGTTGCAGAAGACATTGAAGCAAATAAGTTCAAAGGGGCGTAACTCCTAGAAAAAAATATTGAATCATAATTTCCTGTCGATATGCACATCTACATAGTATGACCTTATTATCTACAAAGTTTCATGAAATTCTGTTGTGTGGTTTCAGAGGAGTTGTGATGACAAACTGTTGCAGTAGTACATTAAAGCAAATAAGTTCAAAGGGGTGTAACTCCTAGAAAAAAAATTGAACCGTAATTTCCTGTGGATATGCACATCTACATAGTATGTCCTTATTATCTAAAAAGGTTTCATGAAATTCTGTTGTGTGGTTTCAGAGGAGTTGCGATGACAAACTGTTGCAGTAGTACATTAAAGTAAATAAGTTCAAAGGGGCGTAACTCCTAGAAAAAAAATTGAACCGTAATTTCCTGTCGATATGCACATCTACATGGTATGTCCTTATTATCTAAAAAGGTTTCATGAAATTCTGTTGCGTGGTATCAGAGGAGTTGCGATGACAAACTGTTGCATAGTACATTGAAGCAAATAAGTTCAAAGAGGCGTAACTCCTAGAAAAAAATTAAACCGTAATTTCCTGTCGATATGCACATCTACATAGTATGTCCTTATTATCTAAAAAGGTTTCATGAAATTCTGTTGTGTGGTATCAGAGGAGTTGCGATGACAAACAGTTGCAGTAGTACATTAAAGTAAATAAGTTCAAAGGGGCGTAACTCCTAGAAAAAAAATTGAATCGCAATTTCCTGTCGATATGCACAACTACATAGTATGTCCTTATTATCTAAAAAGGTTTCGTGAAATTCTGTTGTGTGGTTTGAGAGGAGTTGCGATGACAAGAAACAGGACTGACGGACTGACAGACGGGTCAAAAACATTATACCCTCCGCAACTCGTTGGGTGGGGTATAAAAACCGTAGGAGATGCAGTCAGGAGATAAAGTGGAAAAGTAAATACAAAACTATGCATTTATTGCTTTTGATTATGTCTCTTTTAGCCTTTCAGAATTGAGGAAACCCTTTGGAATTATTTACACACATCTTCAATGCTAGGATACATCAAAGTTATCTGAGAATAATGTAAAAAACAAGACAAAAAACTTGTCCCCACTCAGCCATGGACTAAAACATGGTAAGTACTGTTACTAATTTGAAATATAGAGAAGTTTAGGTTTAATTTGAAATGGTATTCTTAATACATATTTGATGCCAATTCCTATAGAAGTCTGCATTATCAAACGTTGTAGGTAGAAAATTGAAAAAAAACAATCAACATTTCCAGACATGTACTCTATTTAGCCAAACTATCATAAACTAACATATGACTGAATTGATCAACTCCTCAATTATTTTTTTTACTGTTTAAAATCTGAATGCAGATAACAGGTCTATTTCTCGATATGAACAAAATCATACTATTGTCTTAAACAAGATATAGTGTCAGCTATTGTTTGCTTTTAAGGGAAAGGAAATAGATTTTACCAGCAATAAGTAAGCAGACTACAGAAAGTAGATCAGAAATGGAACAGATTTATGTTACAGGGAGATGGACAGTGGTAAACTAGTACAGGCCCTCCTAGCTTAAAATTTGTAAGCGGAGATAGGCAGACAAACCATGTGCTAAATATTTCAAAGTTTACAAACATGGATTTAGGTTCAACAATTCAACAATTTTGTGAAAAATTGAAGAAAAATCTAAATTCCTGTTTTATATGCACATGTCTAAATATTCTGCAAAATAACAAAGTGCCAGCCAGAAAACCTATTACAGAAATAATGCTATATATGAATGAAAAGACCAAATTACAAATAAACTGATCGACTAGGGAATAACATTATACACTCCTTTCAAGTTGATAAAATATCTCATACTAAAACAAGTATTATATAAATTGGACATATAGTAAAGTGTACATGATTTAATATCAATTGATATGATAGTTGTTTAACAGTACTAAATCTTTGATTGTATATCATTAACTACACAAAAAACGAATGTACAATGACTTAAATTACACAAAACAAAAAAGAAAGTTAAATGCAAGATCTTAAAAAAATAACCAAAAAGAAAACCAAAAAAATAGTCTACTTTTTTTGCACACTTCCTGATTTACAGATAGGGAAAATAAAGTGCAGTACAAAAAGTTACATGATTTTGTTACTCTTTAAATATTTCTCACAAGACATTTACAATATATCATCATAAACAGTCAATTTCTAATTCTTGTACAACCTTTTCCAAAACATGTTATAACACATTCAGTATCATTCCACAGGACAGTGTATTATTCCTATACTTTTATAGGTAATGAATATATTTTCAATAACATATTTAAATATTTCAAGGTCACATCCGCAACATTGTTCAGACATAAAAGAAATATAACAATTGTATCAAAAGGTTCTCTGTTATGAAAATTGTCAACTTGATATTAATTCATAATTTTTTGTTATCTATTTAACTCATACATCCGTTTCAGGCCAATTTGACACTGCAAATGTATCAGTATTTGCTGATAAGCAATTTCAATGGATTTCTAGAATGACTACTACCACGAAACCACAAAAAAAACCCAACTAAAAACATTTTCCCTTTTGTTTGCCTATGACAGTTTTAAACTTAGAATTTAACATTCACATATTCAAGCTTAAAACTATAAGTCTTTGGCAAAAAAATCAAACCTTTTATAAATATTCGAAAAAAACTCAGGACTCTGAACCTGTAAAATTTTAACACAAGGGCAGAAAATCCTCTGTAAAGAACATTAAATTCTGCTTGTTGCATATTTTAGAACTAAATGATTTTTTTTAGAACAAAATTAGGTGAAGTAAAGCAGAATATTTTTTTCATAATTATATGCCAATAAAATGTATAGTCTATTTAAAGACTAACTCAAAACTGCCAAATTCACTTCACAATAAAATGTTCTTTCATTATATCTTTAGACTTTTAGTGAAATCTATTTCAAATTCTGATTAGGTATCACTTTGTTCACTAAAATAATATTCAATCACATGCTTTTAATTTGCATCTGTTACACAAAGCTCATGAAGAAATATAACAATTTGAAAATCTTAACACTGAAACTTAATAGAGGAATTTTTTATATACATTATCTAAAATTTGAAAACTTATTATCAGAGTTTGTAGGGAAACAAAATTTGTGACAGTACCTGTCAATATAAATAAGCCTTTTCACAAGGACAGGGATTTGTTTTAGATAATGATCCAGACTTTCCTATTTGAATTTTGACAGGGTCCTCTTGTGTTCCTCAGCTGAATATATTTGCATAGTACTAAAAAAAATTTACTGCCTTTGCTTCTGTTAACAAATTTAATGTTTCAAAGTTCTGTGCAACGCCACTTTATAAACATCCTTGAACCTGGATCTACACTGTTTTGAACACTTGACAGAATACCTTTTATTGGCATAACATTTTTAGCATTGAAATGAACACAAATAGTATTCAATTTAGATCTAAGAGTATATATCTACTTTCATATTTCAATTACAGATGCCTAATTTCATGATGGATGTGATATTACATGTACTATGATGTTTGTTGCATGTTATTTTTGTAATAAATAATGCATCACAAATCAAGCTACATATCAAAACTAATTTTTCAATAAATCTTATAATTATTGTTTTGAAAAATAATGACATTTAGTTTATCCTTTCCTTTACAAAAAAATTATACAGATAAAGCAAATAATGATTTACTGGCCTTTCTGGTCCCAAAGTAAGGAAATATTCTAATCAATACAACATGCTACTTCTAAATATACAAAAAGTAAAAAAGAAACTGATTTCTATCTGATTACAGAAGAGGGTTTATAAAATTCAGAAAATGTTTATTTAAAAAAATGTAATGGAAAGCCAATTTCTTTACTCTTCACAGAAGCTGTTGTATCACAAGCAAAATATACATGGAATGGTCTGGTCGTCTTACAAAAATTAATAAAAAATGCAAATCCTTTTAACCAATTTTCATCAATTGAATGCTTCTAACATAACTGCATCTGGTAACCTATTTTCATATACAATAAACAAATAAGTTTTGACCATGTCCAATATTTGGTGTATATATAAGGGATTTTGGCAAAACAAAATAGAAACACATCATAACATCAAATGAAAATAATATAACAGTAGCTCTGTCAAACATTCATCAACAATAGGTGGAGTTCATCATACAACTATTAAAACTAGCTTAAAATATTCATCCACAACTGAAGAAACATTGCACCATCATACCCTTGGAAGGTTTAAAATAAACAACACATTTACCACTCAGCATCACCATTAGCTTTCTGGAAAACAAAGTCTCTGCCATTGAGATTCATGATACCATCTTTTAAATAGAATTTCCATTTATTTTTATTTCTGTTTATCTGCAAAATCAAAATTCACATTAGGTTTCAGAGTTTTAATCATTAAAAACTTCAGGACTACACTTGGCTAAACATTGGACTGATAATGTCCATGTTAACACCTGCTATACACAATTTCATTAAATTGACACTCAAGACAGAATTATCTAATCGGTTTTAGATGAAATCTACTAGATACCTACAGTTTTAACCTCTCAGATAAAATGGCACTGAATTGCTTCTGTTACCATGCTAATTATTGTCAAACATTATATTAAAACTCTTTTTTAGGATTATTTTTAGGGTATATAAAAATTCAGTTCTTACAGTATTAAATTTTCACTATACTGGTCAATATCTTAAATTTAAAAAAAAAAGATAAATATTGGAATCTATGCTGATAGATGTTCAGCTTGGTTTAGATGACTTGACCTTAGATTTACCAAATTTTCACATGAACAATTTGGGTTTTAAACCTGGCATTTAAATAACTCTCAATAAATTAGATCTGACCACTTGAAAAAATACGGATTAACCAATGAATGGTTTATGCTCCAAGGACTTGCTTTTCCTTTTTCTGGCAACTCTGGTAATTCTGGAACAATTTAAAGGGTAGTTTAGAAGGTGAAATTTATAATTTCAGGCTAAGAACTATAAATAAAACAGTATATTTAAGCTTGGCAAAGCAGTCTGTTTTTTCTCTAAATGCAACATTCTTACATATAGCAATAAAATGCTCCGCTGGGGCGCAGCTTGATACGACCACAGAGGTCAAACCCTGAACAGTTGGGGCAAGTATGGACACAACATTCAAGCTTGATACAGCACTGAATTTGGATTGTAATTAAATATTTGACACAGCATAGGTTTCTGACACAGAATGAATGTGGTCTAAGAACTTAAAAAATTTTAATTTACCTATTCAAACCATATCATTATTATTTGCTTTTATATATAAATCAGAAATAACCAATTTAAAATGGAAAATTTTAAAGAAAAAAAATGAAAAAAAAAATCCCCCTCAATTTTTTGAACCCCCTGATGATTCATCACCCCCAAACTCAATCCCAGCCTTCCCTTTGTGGTATGGTACCTTGCAGTACAATTTCAGAGAGATCTATACACTTGAACACAAGTTATTGTCTGGAAACTAGAAAAATGCTTGTTTTTTGGCCCTTTTCTGGCCCCAAATTCCTAAACGTTTAGGGCAATTACCCCCAAACTCAAACCCAGCTTTCCCTTTGTGATATGGAACCTTGTAGTACAATTTCATAAAGATCCATACACTTACTCACAAGTTATTGTCCTGAAACTAGAAAAATGCTTGTTTTTTGTCCCTTTTTGGCCCCTAATTCCTAAAATTTGGAGGCAATTACCCCCAAAATCTATCCCAGCATTCCCTTTGTGATATGGAACCTTGTGGTACAATGTCAGAGAGATCCATACACTTACACACAAGTTATAGTCTGGAAACTAGAAAAAATGCTTGTTTTTTGTCCCTTTTTGGCCCCTAATTCCTAAAATTTGGAGGCAATTACCCCCAAAATCAATCCCAGCATTCCCTTTGTGATATGGAACTTTGTGGTACAATGTCAGAGAGATCCATACACTAACACACAAGTTATGTCTGGAAGTTACAAAAATGCTTATTTTTGGCCCCTTTTTGGCCCCTAATGCCTTAACTGTCGGTACCATAACCCCCAAAATCAATCCCCACCTTCCTTTTGTGTTATTTAACCTTATGGTAAAATTTCATAGAGATCCATTCACTTTAACTAAAGTTAGAGTGCGAAAACCAATGTGTTTTCGGACGACGACGCTGCCGCCGACGTCACACCAATATACGACCGCAAAATTTTTAAAAATTTAACCAGTATGCTTAAATCACATTTTCTCTAGCTTATTAGGTTAATATGCTTATCTTTACATCACCAATGTATTAATTTCTCACCTTATCATACTGACAAACAACAACATTATCTGTGTCAAACAAATCTGTAGGGTCTTCATCACTAACATCATCTTCTGAGTTTAAAGGCTCCTATAAGACAATATATTGAAAAGATTGAAAAACCTAATGTTGGGAACATAGAGTGAATGTTTATCTATCACTTTGCCCTATCAGACTAGGTAAAGAAATATTCATTCACTGCTTAAAGAACATTAATGTTAATCTATATGATGATTGATGTTTTATGTACACAAACGGCTATATCTTGTACAATGATCATCTAGACCTTCGCTATTGAAATAAATGAACGAGGGAAACAATTTTCGAATATATTGTTAATCATTAATGATCAGAAGCCTTTTCATCATTTTAAATATGGTGGTTGCTTTTCCACCATATTTACACAACATGGTCAATTTAATCCAATTTTCTTGCAATTCTATGAAGACATTTTTTGTAAAACCAAAATTGATCAGGTAGAACTCGGGTAATTCTACTGTAAAGCCATCTGATGCAAACTGTTTCACCTGACCAATATTGATTTTAATACTATCAATTGTTTTTTTTAATTTCTAGGTAAAATTCAAATTGAACACACAAGATTTATGAAAACTAATTAATACATGTAGAAGTTTGGATGTCATTTTTTAACACTATACCTATTATACCGGACACATTTTTAAAGAAAAACCTAGTAACTAATTCAAAAACTTTCATAAAAACAAGAATGTGTCCATAGTACATGGATGCCCCACTCGCACTATCAATTTCTATGTTCAGTGGACCGTGAAATTGGGGTCAAAACTCTAATTTGGCATTAAAATAAGAAAGATCATAGCATAGGGAACATGTGTACTAAGTTTCAAGTTGACTGGACTTCTTCATTAAAAACTACCTTGACCAAAAACTTTAACCTGAAGCGGGACAGACAGACGAACAGACGGACTGATGGACAAACGAACTGACGCACAGACCGAAAAAAACCTAATGCCCCCTCTACAACGGAGGTGGGGTATAAAAATATATTTCACAATACTGAACCTCTTCTTCTCCCTGGAATTCATCTTCACCATCTTTGTTCTCATCATTTTCATCATCATCGTCATCATCATTGTCGTCATCATCATCTTCTTCTGAACTGGAATCATCAGCACCATCAAACTGTAAAACCCCTTGGGTATTCTAAAAACAAATTTAAGTTTAGTGGTGATATCATCCTATATAGAGGGACAAAACAACTTTTTTTCACAAAATCCAGTTTGGGCCTTTATTTTAGCGGGAATTTGGGATTGGGCCTTTATTTTTGCGGGGAATTTGGGATTTACACCTATCGGGACTCAGTTCAGAAATTAATTTATCTGGATCCGGGAAAGAAAGCTTTGTTTTTTTCGGGAATGCGTGATGACACCACCTCCAACTGCCCCTCAATATAAACTAAACTGATTAAAAGCTTTAAACTCTTGTTTCCCTTAAATATTAGAAAATGGAAAAACATCAGACATCAATCCACATTGATTTTTACACAATACATCAGACTTCAATTTGAATGCTGCACAAGAAATAAAATTTAGGTTCATAATTCCTTACCACATCAGCCCCTTTGCAGTCTCAAGAGTAGCATGCTCAAAGACTTTAAAATAAGTACTGCTAATTCTATGTTATGCAAGCAGCATTTAAGAGAATCATAGATAGAATTATCTGTCTGGGTTGGCTGACATGTTTTCCTGTGGACTGTCTCTTTGTAAGCTACCAAAAGCTAATTTTGACTGTCTAGTATAGTCATACTTTTATTCATATCACATTTATTTGGCCTTTTTAACTTTTTTTATTAGAGCGTCACTGATGAGTCTTTTGTAGACGAAATGTGCATCTGGCTTAATAAATTTTAAGCCAGGTATCTATGATGACTTTATTTTCTGTGTTTTCCCTAGGCCCAGACACATGAGGTCACACCCCCTTCTTCATTGGTCAAGAATAAAACCCATATTTTAAATGAGCAATGAACATAACTGTGTTATAACTTTGAATTGAAGGGTGATAATAACTGATTATCTATTGGTCCAAGCTTTGAAACATTCATCCCTTAAAAGTATTTATGAATGAAAGATTTTGTAGTTCAATAAACATGAAGTAAACTTGAATTTCATCATAACAGTTGATCATGTAAGAAAGTTGAAATCTTTTACTTGCAAGGAAAATTGGTTAAGTGTCATGTTACATGTAAAATATTATTTGTATAATAGCACTTGTACCAGAAAATCTGTGACCATCGTGTAAGGGAAATTAGTCAGTTGAAATTTTTTTTTATATATAATTTTTACAATTTTATATTTATAATATCAATCTGGATTTAAATGCTACTCTGCCAGTAAGAAAAGGGTTGAGTGTTAGGCAGATGCAGAGAGTGAAAGTATTTTCAGACTTGTAATTCAAAGAAATAGCTTAAAGAGAATAAATTCAGTCTTTAGCAACAGGTTGTTGAACAAAATTAGAAACTGCTTAGTAAGAGCTGAGAGCACAGATATCAACATATATTATGAACTAGGCACTGGAATGCTAAAAACAAGAATATTTTCTGAAAAAGAATTACATCAATATAATTGACTGTGTTTTAACTTTTTTTTAATTTCTATTCTATTCTTTATAATGTACATTTAAACATATTTCATAAACCAATATATTGTTACTGCATTTCAGAATTCAAAGTGATTGTTTGTGTAATACAAAAGTTCATTTAAATGAGTGTAAAAATATCTTTTGAGAACACTGCACTAACATGTACATATCCTAAACATATGTAAGAAATGTTTAAACTGGAGCTGCTAACAGCAACTTAAAGGGGCTACGACTTTCTCGGGTTGATATTTCCACATTTGAAAAGCCATTATCCATTTAACAAGACACCTGATACACTTAACTTTCCTAGTCTGAGATGAATTACCTGACTATTTTGCACAACAGTTGGGACTTGTCTATTCTGGACTAAAGTAGCTTGCTGTGGTATAGTTGTTACAATCTGGGCTGTAGCTGCTTGCTGTTGTTGAGGCATTGCTGCTTGTATAATAAACTGGCCATTACCTTAAAACAAAGGATTATTATATAATATAATATTATGGTTTCATTAAACAATTTAGTTCTCAATTTCAGTTTTGGAATCATGAAAAAAATGACAAAGATACATGGTTTAGTTCCTATATGAAAGTAACATGAAATTAGCTTGTTACTGAATTCTTTCTCAAGTTGTGTGCTATAATTTGCTAAAATACATACATAGATGTTATATCAAAGGGGAAATGTCTTATTAAAAGGTGCCTTATTTCAATGAATTCTTGTATCGTGTTATAATATCACAGGAATGGGTAATAGCTTACATAAGTATCCCATGAAAGCTAAAGTGTCATTTTTCAGTATTTTCTGTTACATAATATAAAGTGAAAATACACAATATTGAAGATTTTTCTTTTACTGATATAAATTTAAATTTTCTAAAAGTTTAACCATAGCAGACTGGAGTTATACATGTACCATAAAATTACAGAAAAGAAGATAATTGTCCATAAGACAACATGCCTGTTCACACAAGCCCATTTCCAAGTTCAGTGAACTGTAAAATCTAGGTCAAACCCCTAATTTTACATTTATTTTAAAAGTTCACATCATAATGAACATCATGGTGAACTACCACAAATTACAACGACCTTGAACATGTTGAACAGAAACTTTATCCTGATCAGTGAACTGTGAAATCTTGTCTAAATCCTAATCTGGCTTGTATGTTATTGTATACCATTTACACTGAACTGGATAAAGGGAAAACAGTACTACAATTGGCCAAGTTGTTTTTTTCTTAAATCAGTTATTTTGTTCACATTCTATCTAACTCGATACAATGTATGTATGACTATTGTTGAGTTTACGATAAAAGCTTGCCAATCAAAAGAAAAGTTTCCATGAACACAGGTGTGAACAACAAAAGGTATGCCTTTCACAATCAATAAATAAACACAACAAAAATATTTTGAAAATCAGTTATCCTATAACAGTATCTAGTATGAAACAATATATCTTCATGTAGAACAAATTTAAAACCATTAAAAGGTCACCATTAAGGATAAAAATAGATTTGTTATACGATTGAATATAAATTGTCTGATCTATCAAATTCTGATACAACTTTATACTTTAAGTTGAAATTCAAAAGACACAGGTATTAAAGCATGATTTGTTTATTATGTAGAATAAACAGCTGCGCCATGATCGCATGATACGCCCATCGCTTTTTCAATAGATATAAACCAGTCACCAAAGTTTCATGAAACTGCTCAAGGCATTTTTGAGTAATTGTCCGAAAACTGGAAAATCCCCCTTTTTTAATGAATAAAACCCCATAACTCGGTAACGTAAAATCTAAAATTTATTGAATTCGAAAGGGAGCTCACATCAATAGACATTAGCAATTCACCAAAGTTTCATGAAAACTGCTCAAGGCATATTTTAGTAATTGTCCGAAAACTGGAAAATCTCCCTTTTTTAATGAATAAAACCCATAACTCTGAAACGTAAATAAAATTTATGAAAATAGAAAAGGAGCTCACATCAATAGATATAAACAATTCACCAATGTTTCATGAAAACTGTTCAAAGCATTTTAGAGTTATTGTCCGAAAACTTGAAAATCCCCCTTTTTAATGAATAAAACACGATAACTCGGAAACGTAAAATCCAAAATTTATAAAAATTGAAAGGGAGCTCTTGTCAATAGATATAAAAAATTCACTAAAGTTTCATGCAAATTGATTAAAGCGTTTTTGAGTTATTGTCCAACATGTTGACGACAGACAACTGTATACCATAATACGTCCTGTAAACAGGCGTATAAAAACTGTATTGCCCCAAGATGATGTTCATTTGATTTCCTATCATACAAAGTAAGGATGAAGATAAAAATAAAACACAAAATGTTTAGCTTGCTACAAATTTTCATTTCTATAACCCTATAAAATGTGATCTGATCTTTTGGACTCATCTGTGTTAATAGTTTTATTATCATGATTATACGAAAAAAAAAAACAATATTCCAACTACAGGGCTTAAGACTTTACTATAAACATGATAAACTCTAAGGTTCTTTTGTATCTATATATTTTACATATAATGCAATCCCCTGACCATAACCATCTTCTTCTGACCTTGACATTTAGTACAGTTTAACTTCCTCACAAAAGGACAAGATTGTTATATGGATTAAGCAAGGTTTATGATTTCTACTGTTACCAAACTTACTGGTGGGTAATAATGTATACCCTTGGGCTGCTAAGGCCTGTAATTGTTGCTGGAACACACCCTGTGGTAATGCCATCGCTGCTACTGCTGCTGGTTGGCTCTATAAACACACAGTCAAGTTTGTAATATACACATATAAGCATATATTTATTCATAACGTCTCTAGTCTTTAAATAGACACTAATCTGTTCTTGTATACCACATGTTGACAGCTAGATGTCTTTTGGGGTTTACTTATGCTGTTGGATAGCTGTTGCATTGACATATGTCCCATATCTTCATTCATTTATCAGTACTAGTTTCAGCATAGTTCTTTATTCAAAGTTATAAATAAAAGTCTTACAATCAATTTCAAGCCTGTTCAGGGGCCTCTAATTAATGAATACATTTTTTTATCGATAAACAGTTTTCAAGTTACATTTGAATTTGAATCATTTGAAATTTTCAAAAAAGTGAACTCAGTCATAGTAAGCAAAGATCTTTATTATAAAATGTTGAATGTATGCAATATATTTCCCATTTCCATTCTTAATTTTAGTTAAACATGTATGGTAACACTCACTATTTCACCTCCTTGATGTGTGGCTATATGTACAGGAACAGGTATTTGGGCTGTACAAAAACAAAGTACATATATCATTGTACATGATTAGTATTATTCTCATATAGAATCTCTTCATATTTCTAGATTTTTTTCTTTTGAACAGTTTATTTGTTAAAATATATGTCCATTATGACCATGCTATATAAGTCATGAGTCAACATAATTTTTTCAAGTTGTACATTACAGCAGATTATTGTACCTTGACAAATTCAGTTATCAAAATCATATATGGAAAGATTTGAAGAATTGAGTACAGAAATTCATATCTTAGTATTCCATTGAGGAATCATGGTAGACTAAAAAAAAAAAGACTTTTGCATCTAGTTGTACATGTATTACTGCAGTTATTTAGAAAGATAATAATTTTCTAACTTCAGTGTTGATGCAATGAGTTGAGCATTTTTTTGCTCCATGTTCATGTTAAAGGCCTCACTATGACTTTGAGATGAAGAACAGCAACACCAGCCATGTATTTGAACCATATCTATAGTTATTAACCTTGTGTTCTTGGTGGGGCTTGTTGATGCATCACCTGTGATGTATACTGTATTGTGGTGGGTAGTTGTATTCCTGTTTCTGTTGATTCTATTACTGGATCTAATGCTTTTGACTGCTGAAGTTTACTTTCCCAAGACTGAAATAAAGCTCACATACATCATATAATATGTCATATACTGATACACATAACTATCTTACTAAACAAAAGGATGGGGCTAAAACAACAGCTGCATTCAAATAACCCCCATTTCTAAAGTGGGGTATACGTTTTCTATAATTTAAACCATATAATCTGAAGTTTAGTAACAAGTGTTCAAAATTAAGGCAAAAAGCAAGCAATTTTCCAGAAGGGGACTGTTGAAGTTGAAAATTATCAAAAAACTACCTGAAGGTTTCTATAAAATAACTCTGGGTCTGCTGGATTTTCTCACTAATCATACTTTCCATTATTAATCATTTCAAGCATTATCAAGATCAAAATGATAAAAGGTAAAAACATTTACAGGGAAATCAATAGACAGATACACCAAAATAGCTTTGGAAAACATTTAATTCAGGTTATACCTGCCTAACATCATATATATATATCTGATAAATAAAAGTGGTTAAAATTTTTTTACAAGTTTTAGCAAGCGGATGTTTTATAAGTATTTTATACCAGCACAGATATTCAAAACTAGTCCCTGTTAATGGATCATTCTTTTCCATTGGGAAAGTTATGACACCAAGAAAAAATACCAAAACCTAATAAACTTCCTTCGTAGATGCATTTAATAAACATTCAATTTCTTTGAGTTTAATCAAAATTATTGCATGGAAAACTTTAACTGTGTCTACAGACAACGCAAGTTTTACCTTCATCATGTTCTTTTCAAACCATTTGATAATGAAGTTCTATAAGGACTATAAATATCACCTGTTTTAATTCTTGCAAGACTTGCTCATCAACTCCTTCATCAAGAAAGGCTTCTCTGACATTAGCTATCACATCATCAACAACTGACTTGTATAGTCTCGGCTGCAATCAGAAAACAACATTTAGATTAACATTATCCACTTTTTCAACATTGTTTTTGTTTGGTAGTGTTTCTTGTACCAATGTATGGTGCAATTACTGTTCTTGATCAACTAGAATCGACAATAACATGACAATCACATAGTTTAATTTTTTACTTTTAAGTAAAAACAATCTACATGTATATATCATTCTTTTCAAGTTTGGTTTGAAAAGATTCAAAGCTTAATACTTTTTCAGGATATGTTCCCAATTATTTGTATAGATTTTTAACAATCATGAAAAGAGTAGCTGTAACACACTGTCATTTTAGCTTTAATTTAAATTAAGGAACAATTTTTTATGCAAACAAATCAAAGTATTTTTTCACTTCTTTATCTTTAAATTTACAACAGTGTACATTTTGTACATACAATGATTTAGATTTTTTGGGGAAAAAAATTGTAACTTCATTAAAATGTAAATAAATAATAACCTTTAGTTAATGATTGATTAGTTTACTGCATTAAAAAAAAACATCATATTCCTTTGAAATCTTGTTTATTTTTGTAAATTTTTCTCAGTTCCTATTAAAATTTATGCTAACAAAATGCAGATCAGGGTGGACCAACAAGACTGAAATCCATATTCTTATGATAACTAAACACACATGCATGAATATTCTTCCAGATTGAAATTTAATTGTTAAATTAATTTTCTTACTTTTAATCTGCAACAGGCTTGTTATTCAGATTTTTGTAGAATATATTGTGTATCTTTGAATGACAATTTAAGACATAAACTGAGACCACTGCAAATTAATGATTTTAAAAGATCAATCCTTCATGCCCTTTATCTATCTGAGAATTGTTTATTATTATGGAATTTATGCATATGTATCTTTAAGATTAACTAGAGGCTCTTAACTTAAGAGCCCATGTCGCTCACCTGCATCTTCAACAATGGACACTTCTTAGTAAAATTCATCAATAAAGGGGAATAACTCTATTAGAGTTAACTGACAATTTTAGTTATGTTGACATATTTTTAGATCTTAACCTGCTGATAATTTTTCCTTTTTTTAAAAGTTTTTATCTATTGTAGTTTTAAAGATAATAGACAAAAAATGCATAAAAACGTTAAAATATTATCATTTAAAGTCATATGAAATGAGTTTCAAAATAATTTAATGTTCAGGAAATTATTGAACCAATGCATGCATATATACTAAAATAAGTCCTATATGCACATTTTTTACATATTTTCGTATCTATACATATAATCGACACATAATATTTCAATCAGTGATTGTTGATAGCAAGCTCATTAACTTTTGAGTTTCTTGCCGAAGTTTACCGGATCGTGACATTGATAAACAATCAACACAGAAGCATGAGGAGCATGTAAAAAATAAGTGAATTTAAAAAGAGCAGAGTTAATTTTTTTTCATATTTTTCTATGCTTTCCCACGTGTTTAATAAACTTTTCAATAACTGTTCTAAAATGATTTTGTGTATTTAATTTGTTCTTTAAGAATCGATTATTACTATTTTCCTTCCAGTGCAGGTTTGTTTACATTCTGTCATCACGTTTTTCCCTCACATTTGGGCTGTGCAGTGGCCAAAGTTCTAACGAGAGGTCTCGTAGCTAAGGTCACTGCTTACGGAAATTACAACGAATAAGTATATGGGAGGACAATAATTCAATAGCTGTACATTTCTGAAGATTTTGATAAGATAATGGATTTTCTTTCACAAGAAAGTCCATGTACACATGCTTTATAATGCAACTTTCCCTTTCAAGTATATAAAACATATTCAATTTTTTTTTCAAAATTTGAAGTTTCATATGACTTTAAGGGCAATAACTCAAATAACGAGTCAACTGAACATTTCGGCTATTTTGGCTTATTTGTAGATCTTGTCTTGCTGATCATTTGTGTTGTTTAAAGTTTTTATCTATCTATTACAGTTTTCAAGTTACAGTGTAATAGGCTAAAATGGGGAAAATCGTCATTAAAGGACAATAACCAATAAGTAGTCGACTAACGATTTGGGTTATGTTGATTTATAAGTTGATCTTGTCTTGCTATTCATTTTTGTATTTTATTTTTTAATGTTTCTATTTATCTATTGTAGTTTTTAAGATATAAGGCAAAATCAGAATAAATTGGTAAAAAAAATGTCATTAAAAGGCAATAACTCTTATAAGAAGTCAACTGAAGATTTAGGTTATGTTGACTTATTTGTAGATCCTGTTGTGCTGATCATTTTTGCTTATTAGATTCTATTTATCTATTATAGTCTTTATTTCTCATTTCTCGTTTTTATATAGATTAGACCATTGGTTTTCCTGTTTGAATTGTTTTACTATAGTCTTTTTGGGGCCCTTTATAGCTTGCTGTTTGGTGTGAGCCAAGGCTCCGTGTTGAAAGCTGTACTTTTACCTATAATTGTTTACTTTTTACACATTGTGACTTGGATGAATATTTGTCTCATTGGCACAGCCGCACTCATACCACATCTTCTTATTTATATTTAAGATATTAGGCAATATTGCAAAAAATGGGTAATAACTCTAAGGAGTCGTTTTATCTGTAGATATTGTATTGTATTGCTGATCATATTTGCTTTTCAAAGTTTCTGTCTATTATAATTCTCAAGATAATAGGCAAAAATTGTTAATAACTGTAAAATTTTTCATCCAAGGGCATGAACTTCTATAAGAAGTCGACTGTCTGTTTTGTATTTTATGAACAATAGGCAGAGCTCATCATTCTGAACATTTTTTGCCCACCCCGTTCAAATTTTCTCTATTTATGGTGATTTTCAATTAATAGCAAAACTTGCATTTTAGTCTTGTTCTATTTTTAGCCATGTCAGCCATCTTGGTTGACAAGCAGGGTCTTCTGACACACTTTGCAAACTAAATACCCTAATAATGATTGTGGCCAAGTTTTGTTAAATTTCGCTCAGTAGTTTCAGGGGAGATTTTTGTAAAAGTTGACGACGGCGGATGCCAAGTAATGAGAATAAAAGCTAACTTGGCCTTTCGGCCAGGTGAGCCAAACCTGATTTGCACCTACTGAAAACAGCTGTTTTTTAGTTATTATTCCTAAATTTAAGATTCATTATATATCATGACTAAATACAATACAACAGAGTTTGCGAAAATGGTCGGTCCTGTCGGTCAAAATGAGGCTCGGACCAGTATTTTGAAGACTAGAGCCGGTCCCGATGACCGATGTAATAACGGCCGTTGTAGTGCATATTTCGGCACTTTTTTACATCGGTTATTAGATGTACCGCAACTGTTTCCAATAAGTGTTTACATCGGTTATCAGATGTACCCGCTGCCAATTTCCGGTACTGGTTTACGGATTTATTATAAACAAACCAAAGCGGCGATTTACACGTGGCCTACTAAATTTGTTCATAGAGCCATCCCTGGCAAACAATCGGCGATTGAACCCTTCAATGGAGCAAACAAATACTGTAACAGCCGAGAAAGCGTTTCAGATGATGAAATGGATAGTGAGGATGACTTTAAATAAGAACAATCAGAAGACCTGAACTGGTCCTTCATGGTTAATTTGCCTGTGGGTGCGAAGAATCAAACTAATATTAATAAAGTTATTTTTCGATAAAATATGTTATTAATTTTATTTCAGGATAAAATTGACAGATTTTGTAGGACTGGCTAAAATTTTGTAGGACTGACAAATAATCATGCTTTGTCGGTCCCATGACCGACGGGTCAAAATAAGTTTTCGCGAACTCTGATACAATCTTTAATCACCTGCATTAAACTTCTTAAGACCAAATAAACATAAAATCCAAATATGCCAACTTTATCAATATTACCTTCTAAAATAAAGACTTTCTTTTCTATTAATCAATCTTAACTGGATATTCACCATTTAGATTAATACTGTACAGTCATAGAGGGGTCTCGGTGGCCAAGTGGTCTTAGTAATTCAACTAATGTATTACTAGCCTGTCAACACTGAGGTAGTGAGTTCGAATACCGCATGTCGCAGGTGCACTCAACTCCAATCTTAATTGACTAGGATTGTCAGTTTTCCTACTGAAGTCGTGGTTCTCTCTGGCTTCCTCCACCAATAGACTGATATATTGTTTTGGGCATATGTTCTATGACAATAACAATTACTTAATTAATATCCAAAATGTTAAAAAAAATTACTGAATCATGACAGAAAAGGCAGGACAAGCTTACTGTGATAGTTTGAATACAAAATTAAGGTACATGTATACACATTGATGTCTTAAATGATTTTTTTGTCATTTATTTACAGATAATACTATTTCTCAATCTATTATGAAAAAGGGGGGACTATTTGGAAAGATGCAAAATATTGTATACACTACACAAAATGCAATTTGTGATGAGCCTTCGTATGGTATTTCCTAATTGCAAATCATATGTTGGATCTTTTTGGGTTTCCCCCAAAGACATTCTCATTATCAACCAGGTCCACCTGTTGTTCGCTGGTTGAATTATATCAATTTACAAATCAAGATGGATTCCATTGTTTTCGATTTACGAACGTTTTTATGAACGGTACTGGCACTAGACAACATATATTAGTTTATAACGACAATTTTCTTTTGAAACTCACCACCTGATTAGGTGTAGCCATTATTGAAATGGTTTGTTTATGTCCGAGAAAAACGAGTCATATATTTCTCTGACTTGTGGGCTGTAAGAAAGCCGAAGTTGACTGCCACTGCTCCGCTTATATAGCTGGTATTAAATCCCGTATGTCTAGAGGGCGCTGCTCTACTTTTGACGTCACAAGCACCTGTCAGATGATTGATTGTCTCGCGATACATTTCGATGATGATTTAACGCGGGAAATACAAAATGATTACATATTAAAATTATTTATACGAATGCACAGAATTACTGTACGAATTGAAATAGATATGGATTAAAAAATAATAATAATAATAATAATAAATTATTTAATAAAATTTACTCGTCCGAGGCGAGGATTTACTTTCATTGAGACTGATTTTAATTAACGCTTCAAAAAGCCGAATATAGGAAGGCACACTGGCAACGAATACCCACAAAAAAGTAACAATACGAAATGATTATTTTTACTTCTTCTTCTTCTTCTTACAGTAAGCGGCCACCGTCAACTGCTTGACTATCCTGCCACATTTTTGAAGTGCGCGCATGAAAATAATTTTGAAATTTACTGATGATATAAAAACCAAACTGACTGGATGAAATTTGTATACAGGTGCAAATAAAAACATGTTATCTAATTAAATGATGGAACTGAGCCTTGAAAAATTCAGGACTCTGGACAGAGAAATTAATTCCGAGCCTAATTGCGAACTTGAATGCATTGCCGGACACTGAGCTGCTGACATTATGTCATTTTTGTGTGTAGCATCGATAAGGACCCCACTCGGGAAATAAGTTTCAATAACTTGTGTAGGTCATCCTAGGGTATAAGGCTAATAGTCTATATAATTTATTTATCAAAATCCTAGTCTTATGACTAAAATATCATGACAATTTCCATAATTTTAGTTTTTTAAATTATAATTCAGTTTTACTTAACATGTAAATCATTTTAGTGTATGTAACTTTTCATGTCTTGTGCTATATCTGTATGTCATTTTAAATTTCACTTGTTTCTAAATGATAGTAAACTTGTGGTAGCCCACAATGCATTTTGATCCATTTTGTTGATTGGTCAATTTCTCATGTGGATATGCATTTTTTAGTTGAGAAATTTCTTCGCAAATGTATTCTGAAGTCAGAAATCTAGTGGTCTCGAACTGTTAAAAGAAACAACCCAATTATGTTAAGGAAACTATTTCAGCTACTTTTTTTTTATATCTAACAGTAAAGGGCTAAATTATCATTTTCTAAAAATAACATCACAAAAAAAAAATGAAAATGTGTTTCAAATGAAGGCCAAATTAGTTTACAGTTGTTCAGATATTGTCAGTCGAATAAAAAGATACAAATCAATGTAACAAACAAAAACTGAGGGAATCACATGATCTCCGAAAGCAGTGAGTCCGGGTGCATCTAAGGGGTAAGCGTCTCCTGCTATGCATGTATCACCCACCAAGAGAATTCAATGAGTCAAAATGTCAAAATCGGGAATAGGACACAATTGGTTCGGCAGATTAGACGACCATACTGGTATCTAAAAATCTGAGAACGAGAAAACATGTCAGTCGTGAGTTGAGACAAACATCAAATCGGTCATTCGATTCGTGATGGTGACCGACAAACTTATGTAGTGTTGATTTCAGTCTTTCTTCATCAGAACTCTGTTGGAACGTTTTTTTGAAAGGAGCACACCTTGTTAATAAAGACAGTATAGTGTTAAAATGCACGAGCGTAACGTATTAACTGAGATATGTAAACGCTATACGATAGAGCAGCGAGTAAGTTACTGCTGAGTAAAGGGATGTGACAATTGGAAACTTGAAATCATCACGTTTGTCATAGATTATTTGAATTCGTCCATCTGTCTCTACTTTCCCAAGTATCCTTAAGCGCAAGTTCAATTGAATATATGAGATGTTATCACTCATTAAAATGTGGGTTATTGAGTGACAGAACATCATCAATTTATCTGAAAGAGAAATAAAAGAAATTTGTATGATGCTTATTTTTTTGTCTTTGTATGGTCCTATGTGAATTCTGCTTCATATCAGTGCAAAAAAAATCGACAAGTAATTAATACATGAATGAAAAATGATTTGATTGTGAATATTTTTAAATCATTTCTTTGTTTGATTGTAAACATTTTATAAATTCATGATGTAATATTAACGAGGGAAATGCTCCAATAACTTATTTTATATTACGCCTTTAATTTTCCGAAACGTTTAAAGAAATATAAAGCTACGCTGCGTCTTACAACATCGGCATTTACAAATTTTGTTTGACATTGCTAAATTAAAAATTATGTTTTCTTACCATTCTTAAAATTCGCACACAATGGTATATAGTAGCGGAGCAATTTGCAATATCATGCATAATTCAAGCATGGCTTTAAAATCAATGATACACCAAAACATATTATTTGTTAATGTAGTCATTTTTGCATACTTTATCCTCACAATATCTTATAATAAAATGAAAATCCAAATATCAATACTTGTCATATTTTGTTTTTGTTTTAGTCTAAAAATATCAAATGATTTTTCAAAATATAAGGATCGCAATTTATCATGTGTATCAAAAGTGCATGACGTTTAAAAAAGGTTTAAATTGAGTTATTCGGCTTTGTACAAGCATCCAAGTTTTCAATCAAATACTATAACGCTGACCTGTAATATAAAGCATTATAGTGGAACTTTTTTCTTTGTTTTGCTTTGTGATAATGTTTTTCTATTTTTTTGCGTATTATGTTGCAACATTTCTTGCCTGCCGTAAGTCTACCCCAACTAACGTATATCGACAACCTTTTCGTATCAGCAAACATTTATCATTAGCATAACATTAGTGTGTTATGTCTTATCGTTTGTTGTCCAAATAACTATAAAATTGCCTTTCAATACCATCATTGTCATAATCCCGAATATGACTGTTATACCGAGTGTAAATTTGCATTGCTATACGACGTGTCTTGGTATTTTCTACATCCAACAATCATGTATTTATTTTTGATGTTTCTGTTATGGTTTCGGTTGGATAATGTTTTATGTCTTATCGTTTGTAGTCCAAATAATTATAAAATTGCCTTTCAATACCATCATTGTCATTAAAATTATTTGGACGAGTATTGTGAAAATAATTGTATAAAGTTCGAGATTGCATGTTAGTTACGAAAGCGCGTCACTGTTTTTGATATCCTATGGTGTCTTTCGTTGGTGGAATATGTTCGTTGTTGTTCTGTGGTTTGCATGTTGTGTCGACTATTATATTATTTGTTTGTGCGTTTCTCTGTGATGAATGTTCTTACGTGTGTTTGTGCTGTATTTCTGTCACGTAGTGTTGTCATTTTAGCGATATATTTTTTAACGTTGTCATAAAGCGGGACACCATTTTTCTTAAAATGTCCTGTACCAAGTCAGGAATATGGCAGTTGTTATCAAATAGTTCGTTTCTATGAATGTTGGCGTTTGCTTTTATTGCACTTCAGTGTTCCTGTTGTTCCTTTGTTTTCTTCTTATAGTTGATGTATTTCCTTCGGTTGTAGTTTGTAACCCGGATTTGTTTTCTCTCAATCGATTTATGTCTTTTGAACACCGGTATACTACTGTTGCCTTTATTTATCTACTGTTTGAATCTAATTTTACGTTTGTTCACATCATTCCAGCCGTATATTCATTCCTAAAACAAAGGCATAAATTTCTGATTTTCTATTTTGAATTGTCTTTTTTTCAGACTCTTCTTATATTGAACAGAATCTACATGACTAAAGTTTCACCGGAAACATCATCAACAAAAGATAGAATATGGACTGCATGTGAGTACATAAGACAAAGTTCTTTGTCCCAAGAGTCGATTAAAGCGATACTCTTTCATCTGTTTTTCGTATGTCAGATATTTCATATAACTACAGATATGCGAGTGTTCATCCAAATTCTATAATATTCTTTGATGTTGATAACTTTAGTTATATTGCTGGATAGTTTAGAATAACATTTGCTAGTGACATCAAAGATCAATGTATACTTTAAATGGGATGATCGCTATTTTGAAATGTCTTTCGGAAACTTATTTTTTTCACTGCTGTAAAAATAATGTATTGAACAGTTTAGACTACTTGGGAAAATATGTTTTTTTTTTAATTAAAACAAATAAATGTATAAAATATTTATATGTAGATCATATAGATCAAAAATTCGTAGCTATGATAAGTCGTTTTCAGTTTTCTATGATGATATTTTGGGAAAATTGTACGTTAAGAAACATGTTTTGGATTATAATTCACGCAAAAGACAACTTTGTTTTCAAAAATGATAATAAAGCGAACTAAAAGTTTTGTCTTATCTATACGAAGTTACTATTTATCTAAGTCATTGTATACGGGTTTAGAAATTTATCAAGAAGTTGACTATGATTAATTCCCTTTAATGAAGGATTTCCTGTTTTATATTTAGCCCTTTGAACGATTACATGGTTGATAAATGAACGAAATGAAACATTTTCCATAGCATTCATTTTTAATAATGATATCTTATCTTTACGCTTTTTTTTTGCAAATGTAAATTATTCCTTTCAAAATTGCACCCACCTAACAACATGATGTTCAAAATTTTCATATTTTGTACTGAATATTAAAGAAAAAGGTAATTTGGGTAACTCTAAAGAAAACTACAGGGTGTATATTGAATGAACTATAAAAAGATATATCTTTAAAAATGCTTTCAAAAAAGAAAAGGAAAAACGGAGTCAGCGTACTGTTTTCTTGCTACATTTCAAATTAGATAAATACAGTATATTCCATATAAAAATTAATCGTCTGAGATGTCTCCTTTATACAGCAAAATATTTTAATTTTCAAATAAATCAAAAACAAATCTGCATTAAAAATATTACCATAAATTAATAATATATGATTGTTTTCTTATACACGAAAACTCTTAGAAATAATTTGCATTTCAGCATCAAAATTTGCAAATTTCTGGAAAAATCAAAGAAGGAGACATTGTACTTTTAAATTAAAGTAGATGTGAGGAATATTATTTGTCAAAAAGACAGAAATCCAAAGCTAAAAAAACAAAAAAAAAAACAAAAACAAAAAAGACAAATCAACCAGAGTCTTAAATGTTGTGAATAAAATCATAT